TCAGCTCAGCCGAAAGCGAGAGCCTAGAGCTTCGCTGGTAGGAATCAGAGGTGATCTTCTTAATGCTGTCCTGTGCAGGAAGTTCTTGTGTGAGGTGGAGTCTGCGTGGATGCTACAGGTACTTTCTTTCTCTTTGTTAGGTGAAGCTTGGAGCTTGATTTCTTGAGTCTGTTGGAATGACTTCTGCCACCGCTCGCTCTCCGCTAGTCTGTCCTCCTCTGCCTGGGCTGCCAGCTGTTAGTTAGTTGGTTTAGATTAGAAGAGGAAATTGCTGAACAAAGTTCCCTGCCTTAGGAGAAATATTGTAATGCTAATCAGCTTTTAATTATATGTATCAGTTTCTCTACGGTTAACAGCAATTTTTTTTGCTCAGGGAGCTGAAGTTGTGTTCTTTGCCTTGCGTGGCAGAGCAGATCCTGGCTGCGTAATGTTGGAGAATCCGCAGAATCGCATGCCTGTTAAATGAAGGGGTTTAGCGGCGTGGATTGTTTCATGGTACTAGTCTTTTTTTAAATGCTATTTGCATATCTTGGGAGAGTGCTTGTGATTGCAATCGGAACTTCTTGGAAAAGCTCCTGGCTGCGTTTATAAAGGCTATGTGCTGAGAAGGAGTTGCTCTCTGTTGATAGCCAGTATCCGCTTTTATTTTTAAAACATGGTTGAGTATCTCTAAGTGAAATATCGTGATGCACAGGCTTGCTGGTGAAACCACAGGTTTGTACTTTTCTTTGCTTTGTGATATGTGTTGAAATAGGTAGAATTTAGGCTGGACTGTTGGTTTTTCATCACCTGTCTTGAACTTAGAGCCTGTGCTTGCAAACTAATGCACTGAGCTGTGGTCTGCAGCCACTTGGGGATCATGGACTACTTCTGAAGGGTTGTCAAAAGGTAGCTGTGAAAAGCAGGCCTGTTAGCTGCTGGGAAGCAACTACAAACAATCTGCTAAGGACTTTTCGGGGTGAATGGATTAGGAATTTTCCAATTTCTTTCCCATGGTGGAGCCGTTCCCTCTCTGCCTGCTTTGGATTTCTCCTTCTGCAGAAACTTCACAGCGCTCTTAACATCAGTCAAAAGAAGGCTCTCGGTGCAGATGCAAGTACCGGGTTTCCCCTGAGGCTGCCCTTCTTGCTCCTGAATGAGCTTCATGAATAGAGAACGTAACAAATTTGTACTGTACCTCTGGCTTTGAAGTTGGGCTCTTCCTAATAAAATCCTCCAACGCTTCCAGCTCTTTGTGTGTACTGATATGTAGATTGTGATACAAGGTCGAACCCTGCAACTTCGGCTGTGGGCGGGAGGATGTACCACAGCAGGCGTTCGCGGAGCTCGACTAGTTAGCGTAGCAGCAAAACCTGCTGCCGAAACTGGATAAATACCTGTGCTGACTAGCCTTTGCCGAGCGTTACTGCCATGGGTACGTTACTAGCTGTGCTCTGGGTAGCTGGTGCTGGATGCTCCTGCAGTTGTGGCAGTTTTGGGATGCGTTTATGGCATGGATTTGTATTTTTCAAAATTTAATTAGTTGCTGCTGCAGGCTTTTTGTCTGACTCTTCCAAATTTCTCAGGCCGTAAGGACGATCTGTCCGGATTGTCGTGCAGTGTGTAAACCGGTGGGTAGCTAACTCTGGGTGGGACAGAGCTCCACTCCCCCAAGCTGGCTGATGCCGCAGCTGCCTTCGAGGTAGCACAGTGCTGTGGGTCCCCGGAGAGACTTGGCCTTTGGAGAGAAGCGCGAGGCTTCCGGCAGGAGTGAAGCAGAGGCATCTGGCTCGCCTGGCACCGTCAAGGCAGGACTTGTTTTCTGCCTGCATCAGACCTGATGAATGCATTTGAGTAGCCCTGGGGAGGAGCGTGCTGGCGGAGCAGTCCCTGCCCTGAAAAAGAGCAATCTAAGGGTTTGTCTCATGTGTTGTCAGTGTCGAAGTGCCTGTGTCGGCAGGGTTACAGTGCTAATTGTTTGACATCCAAGGTGTTACTAAACCCAGTTTGAAAGCAGGTTTTGTGTGTGTGTGTGAGATGCTTGTTGCTTACCTGGTGTTTTCCCTTCATTGAAAATCCTTCACACCTGCTCTGACCACTTGCTAATCTCTCACACCGGTTTGCTGGTTGGCATATTGACCTTCCTTGCGCTGGAGTCTTCCTAGTCAGGTAACTTGTTATGCGTGGGTGCTGCTGTTCACTGCTTCTCCTTGGGGACAAGCGACTGTCCTGGCTGGAATTGCTTCCGTCTGGGACGGAAGTTAGCTGCTGTGGGGAGCCTGAGTGATGGCTGGAGTGTCGGTGCCGTGCTCCAAATGGATATCAATGGCAGAGATCTTAGACAGCCTCCAGCATGACCTGGTGCTGGTGAGGAGGAAGCGAAAGGCAGATGGAGATGTGGTACGTCTGAGAGACTTGGGTTTTTTTTCTGTTTCAATCTATTGCTAGGCTTCAAGAATGGATTTTCCCAGACTGCCACTGAGTATCAAACTCTGCTTCATCCCAGAGTCTAACATGCATTCGCTGTGCTTGCTCACCAGTTTGCTTTTTATGCCATAAAGGTGATGCATGTCATATGAGAAGGTTGTGTAATTCTGACTTAGCCCTTGCCAACAGACCTCAGTGCCATTACTGGGGGTGGGATGCTCACCCCCTCTGTCCTGCCCCGGTATCCTGGGCTGCATCCTTGACTGACTGACTGGGAAGCTAGAGCTGGCCTGGAGCCTTAAGAGGCCAGCTCTAGTGACTATGTGACTTAAGAGGAGGGAAGCTGTCCTAGGGAAAGTCACTCCTGTTAGATATCTCTGCTCTGCTTTTTTTGTTTCCTGCAGCAGCAGGAGGGAGGCAGCACAGCACACTTGCGGAGAGAGCTCACAGGCCTTTTATTACAACAAGCTGGTGTATTACTTTGTACAGGCTTGGCAAGGCTGGGCAGCAGGAGGTGAGCAGAGGAATTCAAGTAGTGTATCGCTAGAAATCTGTGTAAAGTATGTAGGTGCCTTCTGGAAACAACAGGAAGCCTGCTCTCATGGCCTTTCCTGGCACCATCTTTCCTGCAGGTGATAAACTCAGGGAGTCCCCATGTGCATTAACTCTCCTCAGAGCTCTCCCTGGAAAGCACCTTATTACAGGTGCTTTGCATGTCAGCTGGACCAGGTGCTGGCCTCTTGCCAGACTGATGAGCTACCAGCAAGGAAGGGTTGGATCCATCTGTCCAGCCATGGTGATTGCTTCTCTGGAGAACCTCTTGTGGAGATGACCAGGTGCTGTGGTGAGGCCAATGCAGAATTGCAGTGACTTTTTAGCACCTGTGTTCTGCAATGCCAGCTACCCCAGCTCTGAAAAGCCCTGTTTTCTCAACCCTAAATTATCTTCAAGAAATCGCTGTACTTGGTGAATGTGATCTAGGGGTAATTGTGCAAGGCCAGAATTAAATCTCGTCTGCACTGACTGCTTGTTTTCTGAGGCCTGAAGGGTGTAACTGACTGTACTAACAGCTGCCTGGTTACACTCATGCCTAAGGATTGAAATGATTGTCAGAGTTTCCTCTGTGCTGCCTTGGAGCATTGCTCTCGAATGGGACTTTGAGAAGGGTGCTGGCCTTAAGTGACATAGCTGCAATTAAGCTTTGCTGTTTGAGCACCCCAGAGCTTCCTTGGTAAGGCAAGGTACGAATCTCTGCATGTGAAACACAGATACTTCCATGGGGCATAGAGCAGCGGTGGTGGACTAGCAGCCTGGGTGCTGAGAAAGTATTTCTTGCCATACCTGCCAGTGTTTGATGTAAGGCAGTGGTACTTCGCTTGGCGAACAAACCTGAGATGCTCACACGCTTTTTGTGCAGCGGTTGTGTTGTGCGTAATGACGATACGCAAACCCCCAGGGCTAGCGAGGAAGCACGGGCATGCCCTACAACCTGCAGATGGAGTCAGGGTCTGAGCAGATGATGCAGATGAGGGGAACTGGTGTCTAATAAGTGGTTTGAATGAAGAGCATCATCTTAGTTTGAATTTTCTTGTTTGGAGCAGTTGAGAGAAAAAGTGAATTGGGGGCAGGAAACGGTTATACAGCTGCTCCTGCTATTCCGTAAATGCTTCTGGTAGGTGGTTTGATGTCTTGTCTCTTCTTGCTTGCTTCTGCCTGTGTGTTTTACGTTTGACAGGGCGAACAGTGAGCAAAACAGTCTGGCACGTTCCTTCCTTCGATTAGGGAGCTGACCTGCCTCTGCACGGGCAGAGGTGACAGTGAGCGGCAGGAGGAACGAGTTGTGCTCTCTGCTGGCACACCGACCTCCATTCCTTCTGCCTTATCACGGGAAGGGTGGCTGCAGGTTTTGGGGATTGTTGCTTAACGTAGTCTGGCTAGGCTGCACTGGCTTTTAAGGAATGTTATTTTAAGGAACCCGTTCTAATGTTGAAGCAGAGGCTGCAGTGGTGCTTTTTACTCATTCCTGATAAGTGCAGCTAGTGTATTTTTCAAGTTCTGGTAGTAATTTTTCTGAATCAATGTTTTTTTCCTCCTTTGTTTTAACTGTCGAGTTTATGTTGAGAAGTATGGATTACTCTTCTCAAAACCTAGCCATTTCAAATCCTGCTTTGAGAACTGGTGTCAGTTGTTTGTTTTCTTTTTTTTTAATTGAGGTATGTGACTCTGGACTGAATTAAGAGCTTGCAGTGCAGATACAGCTATTGCTCTTTTACTAGTACAATTTTCCAATTTTTTTGTGTGTTTTGTGGAAGGTTTAATATGATTTTCTGGATGGTTTTATGCTTTAATGTTAAAAACATTGTAGGACATTGCACACATGCACTTTGCCTTGAAGCTTTCTGGGCTTAACCCAACCTTTCTCTACTTTTTTTTTTTTTTTTGAGTTAACTTGAACATGCTAATTTCAGTTTTGAACTACCTATGTTTTAAAGCAGGTCTTTGTCAAGCCCCTTTCAGCACCTGTGGAGACTTCCCATTTGTCTTGAATACACTAACTTACCTAAGAATCTTGCTGTTTTTAATGCAGGTTGGGAGGACCAGATCCTCTGGACTACGTTAGCATGTACAGAAACCTGGGAAACCCAGCGCTGAATGTTCCTGAGCACTGGCACTATGTCAGCTTTGGGTTAAGTGACTTGTATGGAGACAACAGAGTACATGAGTAAGTGTCATTTAAGTTGTGTTGCTGGTGTTCTGCTGCATTTTGGGGAGTGTAGGTAAAACCCTGTCCTGCTGGTCTTACTATTTGAACAGCTGGGTTTTTTTCTGAGAATACCCTAGCTCTAGTCTCACAAGAGGTGATGTATGCCTGTTCTTGGATGTAGAAGAATTACTGTGTTCCCCTCTGCAGGCTTTCAGTGCAATATATTTCCTTGTTAGTGTTAAGTGGATTTTTTTTTTCTTGTGGTCTTTTTTTCAAAAAAAACCCACTTATGGTCTTTTTTTTTTAAACTGGAAGTCTTGTTGTGTTTTTCACTCTTGATATGTCTGTTATGGTCATATGCTTAAATCCTGACCCCTCCCTGTGCATGTTAAATGCCTTCCTCTGGAAAACTGCTGTAAGGGCATTTTTCCTATTGCTGGCACAGCAGTTTTACTGTCAGCAGACTGCCACCCCAGTGGCTGCTGTATAAAGTGCCAGTCTGTGTAACAGAAGCATAAAATTCTAATTGTCTAACTGTCTTTTCTCCGGTAATTAATTATCTTAGCTTGTTGGTATGGATGGTCTTTAGCAGGCATTTTGTATTAGACCAGGCAAGCAGCATGATCTAACCTTATTCCTGTCTTTCTCTTACTGACCTTGCTCCTTAACTCTGGTTAAACTGAGTAGCACAAGCTGAGGTTACGATCTTGGGACTGTGAACATGGTCTTTTAACCCACCAGAAATGGCAGAAGGTTTCTGCTGTCACTGCTTAGTGAAACTGTCTTTGAGCTGTTTCATAGTTGCAGGGTAAACATCCTTGATGAATAGTGCAGCAAAAGCCCTGGTTTGTTCACCCAAGCTTTTTCTTTGTTGTTTGTCTTTGTTGAGATTCATCCACTAGCTTTTTCACCCAGGTGCTTCTCTTGCAACAGCAGCAGTCAGGCAGTTTCTTTAACCTTACCCATGTCCCCCAGGCAGTTTCTCTTTGTTTTTCTCATGTTTGTGGTTACCAAACTCTTTTTCTGAAGACGGGTCTCTTAAGACTGGAGTTTATCCAGGACCCTAGTGTCACAGAGATCTACCTGAGGCATCTGACCAACACATACACTAACAACAAACCCCAGTCATTAGTTGCTGAGGCAGAGGAAAGGTAGGGCAGTGAAAGAAATGAGGAGAAATGAAGTTAAAGGCTTCCTTCCCTCACTTCCACAAGAGAACCTGCGATGTACATGCAGGCTTTCACATGGTGCCTTTGTTCTCAAATCATGAGATTTCATCTTTGCCACTGAAAATCTGAGATTGCCAAGATGAGGTGACCTGTGTTTGCCCACCTTGTTTTGAGAAGACTAATTTTGGAGGGAGTAAGTGCCGTGCTGAATTTCTCTTTGGTTACTTGTCAGCTTGTTTTCCCTTGGTGAGATGATTCTCTTTGCTCAAACTCTTTCCTGATGATTTTGTGTGAGAGCAACGAGTGGATATGACGGTCTTAGCTGAAGACATGAAGGGTAATGTGTTTCCATGAATGAAGAAGCAAATTATGTAAGGACACAGCCTCCTTGGCCCTGGCACATGCTCTGGCTTTTCGCTCCCAGAACCTGTCTGCTATACCAAAAACTGTTGTTCTTCTGTAGTGGAAAGCTTGGGGGTGGAGGAGTGAAAGTAACACACTGGTGGAATGTCACAACTTTAAATAACTTCCTGGCATGAGACCTCCTGACTCTTTATACTGTCAGATGGTTTGGTCTGGAGATTTAGATTGAGATAGTGGAATGTGCCTTTTCCTGGTTGCAGGGCACAGAAATTAAACCCCTGATCTCTAGACATAGGCTGCAGGCGATTTCCAAGACCTGCCTAGCAAAGCAGGAGTGAAGTCACTGCTGTGCTCTGGGTGATCTGAAGTCCCTTAGTGCCCCGCGTGTACGTGAGCCTGGGAGGAGGCTTAGAGAGCAAGCGTGCCATGGCTACTCCCAGCACTGCGCTGCTGGAGGCTGCTGCGCTGGACATTGCAAACAAATAGTGAGCCCTTGCTGCTGTGCTGCTTTGGGGGTGTTGGCTGCAACCTCTTGAGCACAGGCCTGCTCAGATCCATCAAAATGATTTCTGTGCCCTGGGTACGTGCCATTTCCGTTCTCTCTGTGTGGCTGACTTCAGAGTGGGGTGTCCCTGTGTCACTTGCCCTGAGGTGTTCAGCTGTCTACAGTCCATCACCTCTATTTTGGCCTCATTCTTGGAGCTGCAAAACTTAACATTCCATGTGCTATTGAGAAGGTTGGCTCTGGCTTTATGGCGAACAGTCTTGATATACAATTATGCATGTGGTAAAGTTGTCAGAACCTACACATCTCTTAAACACTGAACCTGAAGTTATCACCTGGTAGGTGAGCACTGAGGACAGATGGAGAGAAGGTTTTCGAAGGAGCTGAGCACCCACCATCAATTCTTACTCCCAACAGCAGTTGCTGTTTGCTAGTTACTCTTGAAACACAACCGCCATGTGAACTGCACATCGTCAGACCAGCAGTGTGTGCTCATTGCAGGAATGTAGTGATTTTCCTTTGCACTCCATAGGCTCTTGATATCCCTCAGGGGATATCAATCCCTTTCTTTGTTTAAGAAAGTGAATATCAGTCTCTTGTTGCTTGAAGGACTGTGGGATTCTGCTGCCCCGGGTAAAGCGTGCTGTGGGATGGTTGGTGGGAGCAAGGGGTGACAGGGGAGTTGTTTAAGCCTTTGGAAGATTTCTTACAGCTGAACTCTACTCAACTGTCCTGGCCTATGGAGATAAAGGTTAGTTCGTAGGGTTTTTGTTTGTTTCCCAACTCTCTCTGCAAAGAGTACAGAGCTGGACCTGCTTGTGTCAGCTGGAAGGGTTCCTACATTGGGGATGTGCTTCCATAACTTTGCTGACCTTCATGCTTTAGAAAGGGAGGGATAGTACACTGTCAAAGGCCTTTTTAGTCACCCAGCTTGACTTTGGGCGATGAATAGCTTATTTCTCATGGACCTCTTCTGGTAATACAGTACAGTCTAGACCAATTATAATGCAGTATTAAATGAAAAGGACTTTTTGATTTTTGAGTGAACCAACACTGAATTGGAGGCCCCTATATTTTTATTTATAATGGAATAGCAAACAGATGTAGCAAATAATGTGAAAATGTTGACTTTAATTTATATTTTTTAATAAGAACCTGAAAAGTCTGAAGTGGAGCTCTCCCTATGCCTCGTTGTTGACAGATTTATTTTCAGTTAAAGCAGCACTATTTCCTGCTCTGCTTAAATATCAGCTGTACTCTGCTCACAGAACTGGTCTGGTTTTAGGAGTCCACAGAATAAGATGGAAGAAATGTAAGAATTTCAAACAGGGAAACCTTTTTCATTTAAAACCACTCAGTGTTTCATGGTATAATGGCAACCATGACACCAGCTGTGCTGGGCTGATCGTTCTAAAAATCCTAAATCATGACGTCATGACAGCGTTAGGGAACCGCAGGCCTTGCAGTGGGATTTCATGCCAAGTTGCTTGCATGGAAATAAATCTCTCTAGTCAAGCATGTTGCACAACTTGAGTGGCAGCAGAAATCCTTCCGGGACATTTTTGCCAGTTATTCTCAGTTTTTAACTTTTTTCTTTAAATTTTAAAATCAAAACCGATGTGCGACTTCTTGAATCTAATTCAGCAGAGCCTTTTTTTTTTTTTTTTTGGACTGTTCTTGCTTTTTGAAAGAAAGATTGCTGCAATGAGTACTTGTGTAGCATGTGAGCACGCTGGCAGGGAGCATCTGACAGTGTGGATGTGGGAGAGGAGACAGGTCCTATTCCCTCTTCCACCCATTGCTGGCAGCTACCACCCCACAGCAAAATCAGCAACAGGGAACATGTCCCTGTGCGTCCGCACGAAGCGTGGTTCCTCAGCTGGCAATGGCAGATTCATGCTCCGATGCCAGACCGTCAGCATGGCCAGGGCTGTGCTGGCAACTAAATGCCATGAAGCTGCCCCTTCACCCTCCCCGACTCCTGGGGATGGGGAAGAGAATTAAAGGGGAAAAGGGAAGGAGACTCATGAGTTGAGATAAGAACAAATTAATCATAATATAAAATTAAAAGGAATAGTGACAAAATAATGATAGTAATAATATGTGAATTTTATATATAAATAGTGATAATAATATATGCAAATAAGTGATGCACAGTGTAATTGCTCGCCACCCAGTGACCAACGCCTGTCCTGTCCTGGCAAATCATTCTGAAACAGATAAGTCCTGACACTGCAATTCTGGAAGAGTGACAGGCCCAAAAAGAGAAAGAGCAAGAGAGAGGACTCTGAGAGTCCATGAGAGCCCTCAGGAGTGAGTTCCAAACTTCCTGGTCAACCTTCATCTGTATACTGGGCATGACACTGTATGATGTGGAATACTCCATTGGCCAATTTGACCCTCAATCCTAAGTCTAAGTTCAGATCATAAGAGGAGTTGTGGGCCCTTTGTCCTGGCTGTGTTCCCCCCCCAGCCTGTTGTGCTCCTGCACACCAGCAAAAACATGGGAAGCTGAAAGGTCCTTGCTGTCTCAGTACCAACCATGAACATCAGTGCGCTATCAGCGTTCTTCTCATAGCGAATCCCAGACTAAATCCAAAACACAGAGCTCTCCTAGCTGATAAAAGCTGACAGCTGACTCTGTCCCAGTCAAAACCAGGATGTATGGCTAGGTTAAGAGATAAGATTTGTATTTGTGGCCTTCCCACATCCTGAGAAGAAATGTGCCAACTGCGTTTTGATGTTTAGCTTTTTATGCAAATTCCAATAATTGGGTTTCCTGATCTACACAAACTTCATTTTGACAAGGATGGTGTCTTTTGTTTTGTGGTTTGTTGTGGTGTGTTTTTTTTTCTTTTCCTGGCAGCTAGCCAGGAGCCGCAGCATCCCATTTGCATAAAACCAAAGAGATTACAGCTGCCTTCATCTCTAATACAGATGCAGGGTACCACCCGCAGAGACAACAGGTTCCAACTTGCTGT